CTCTCTCTCTCTCTCTCTCTCTCTCTGTCTTTTACCGTGCGCGCGTTCGACTACCTCTCTCTCTACCATCAAACCCTCACCCTCCTTTCCCTTTTCCTTCCCTCTCGCTCCTCAAGTGTACTTCTCCGTTTCTTCCTCTTCCTCTCTCTCCCACGCACGTACGCTTCCTCTCTCTCTTCGTCGCTCGTCTTCCCTCCTTTTCTCCCACGATCGTTTCATCTCCCTTATTCCGCTTGCCTTCTCCTCTTCGTCTCGCTCTCTCTCTTTCTCTCTCTTCGTCCGTCACACTCGTCCACCCACCGCCCCTTCTCTTTCGCCCTCTTTCTCCTCATCTTTCTTCTTCTTTCTTCGTACGTCTCTCATTCTTTTCATCCTCCATTTTTGTTTTTTCTTTTCACGACTGTCCTCGTCCCGCTCGCGGCCAAGGATAGTCGATGAGCGGACTCGACAGGGTTAATCGATCGCCGGCGATCGATGGTAAATCATGGCACGCGCCCCGGCGATCGATTGAGATAGATCGATCGTAAGTGCAGCCCGCGCGATCGTTACCCGGTGCGGCTACGTCGGCCGCATCGACGATAAGGCACTACCGCGGAGAGAGAGACGACCGTATAACGGTCACTCTCCGCGCGTACCAGCCAACGACGAACCAGGGCCGAATTTACAACGGATCGTACGTCCTTTCCACCTATGGACCGAGGACATTATGCAAATGAATCGCGCGAGCGGCAAGATTGTATTTGCTTGAGGATGTCGCAATGGCAAGATTCTTGAAGATGCGACCGGGGAAGACGGGTTCGCGCTCACATATTTACGTAGGTGATCTTTTTTTAGATTCTACACTAGCGAGCCTCCTTGAGCATCCCCATCTTTATCTTCTTCGTCTTCCTCGTCTTTATCTTCATTTCGCCTTAGTCCTCATTTTCATCCTCACCTTCCTCTTCTCCGTTAGTACATCTTATATTGGCTTCTGTAATCTATTGACAATGCTGACAGTTTCGTGTGGTCGTAAATACGGTTCTTCGAAATACATTACTACTGTCTGTGTAATGAACACTTCTTAGATGAAACACTCGATTCGATTCAGTTCTGTTTGGTTCAGGTGTACATGTGTAAAGTTACGAACGATTATCGTGGCAGAAAGTTTGCGAGAAGTATGTACAACGCCGAGCAGCAGTTGCTGTAAAGAAGGTCATAAATATTGCAAACAGTTCGACGACGAGTTTGGATTTAGATGATGTATTCTTAATTTCGATTACTGAAAATACTTCGCGGGGTCAACGTATTATGATGCTTCGTGCTCAAAATTACATCAATGATGCTGCATTTCGAGTGTTAGCATCTACCAGAAATATCAGCAAGTTGCCAATTTTTAGGATCACAAGAATAATTTTCAATAATTCAAGTCTATTTGAGAGTAAAATAACATCTCTTCATTCATTTTATCTACATTTCCTTAGACTTTGTTTAATCCTAAGTAGATTATTCCTTCCGAATTCTGACAAGAGATTTTTACAAATGGTAGATAATGATGATGTGATCGTTGCCTAAATAAGTTACCGAACGATTCTCGAATAGGAGCTCGTTTAAGATGCATTTTGAATTCTCTGATTGTGCGCGAGAGTTTATATTTATATATGAGATTTAGAGAATAACGAAGAGGAAGCTGAAGTGCAACTGAAACACGCAGACCTAGAATATTAACAATCGGTTTTGCCGGATATATATGTATATACATCTCTCTAATAACACACACCTATATTTTCCCTACGTTTTCATTACTCCTCGCAATGTAATCCCGGCGACGCCGATAAACAATTAACGATTGCGGTATTAATCGGCCACGTCGCGATGCGGCTCGCCTCATTCCTCATCATCGCCGTAGTCGTCGTCATCGTCGCCACTGCCGCTGCACGCTGCCCGTCGTCGTCGTGGATCGCAAGCGGCGCGATCGATCTCGCTCGGAGAGAAACGAACTGAATTATTATTCCCCAGAGTTGATTTCCGATTCCGTTCTCCGCGGAACATGACGGTGCGCCGCGGTGTGCCTCGTGTAACCAAAATAAACCTCGTGTGTACGTGCGCGGTCAGCGAACGAAGAAGAAAAAAAGGAAAAAAAAAAGGGGGAAGAAAGACCACGAAAATATCGGACGAGGTCCAGCTCCCGCGCGAGATCGATCTCTTTTTTTTTTCCGCCCATCTCGCTGACGGTTCTTATTAATAATCGATTCGAATTATCGATCGTACAGTCATCGCCGGTCATCGCTGTCCGCTCGCCTTCGACCTGGCGCACCGGTCCGTCTCCGCCTGGATGCACGACCACCGCCACCGCCGCCGTCGCCGTCGCCATAGCGCGCCGCTACGTTATGCGTATGCGTCAGCACGTACAATATCTGCGTGTACACGTAGTGTGCGTCCGCGTTTGCGTCCGTGTGCTTGTGTGTGCGATGTGTACAATGCGCGCGACCACGGAGCGCGAGGATGTGTTGCGACGGAGCAAGCGCGAGAAAGAGAGGAACGGAGAAAACGTACGTATGTGTGTACCTATGTGTGCCTGTGTACATGTGGGTACGTGGATGCACGTGTGTGTGTGCACGGCAGAGTGTGGGTGCATACGGTGACCCTGCCGCGCTGGATGAGTGGGTGGAAAATCAGGGACGTAGCGAGGATCTTCGAGAATCGGCGCACTCGCGAGAAATGCGCAGCTGCGTCTCGTTGCTCTTTAACATCTCGTCGAACCAGGGGTAACAATACGTTTTTGCCATGCGACTCTTGCGAGGAGAAGTTTGCGCTCCTCGTGAATGGAACACGTGCCTCGTACGTTTCTATCCAAATCTTCGGTATCTGTTTTCGCTCTCCTCTCGCGCTTCTCTCTTTTCCGCGTACACCTGTTTTGTTTCAAAAACGGAATGCATTCGAAAGTGCAATCGAACAAAACAAACGTCACGTTTTGGCTAAGTTTGTTGACCATCGAAATCCGTCTTCTTTCGTCAAGATCTCTCTTTTTATTCTTCTTTTTGGACATCTAACATCTAATGCTAATACAAATCTCTTATTATCATTTGATTTTCACGCATTGTTTTATTATTCCATAAAAACTTTGCTACGTTAAAAACCAAAGAATTTCGAGCAATTGTATTATATTAATTACGTTTCTATCATCTTTGTTACGATTATTAGACTCTGTTCTGTAATTAATAATGCGAAATTTCATGTACCAGATTTTATAATCTTCCACGCATCCAATTCATAGACTTTCTCCTGATTAAATTTCCGAAATAGTCTTCAGGAAACCATGATTTCTGAAATTCTACGTATCAAGCATTCGCTCTTCTCTCTCTCTCAAGGGCGTCAAAGTCCAAACCTCTTGACACGCTCCTGCCTGGAGCGACACGTGTCCGTGTGTGCGTGTGCGCATAGCCAGGTTGCCACGAGAGGAGGCTCTAGAGGGCGAGAGACGAGGGGGGTGGTGGAAGGGGGGTCAACGAGCGAGAGGGATATAATGGTCAGGGAGGACGAGAGGGTGATGTTCACGCGTGGGAGGAAGAGAAAGGGATGGAGGGAGAAGCGAGATCTAACGGGTGTGTGGAACACGCGCGCGCGAGAGAAGGACGGTGCGCGAGTTGGACGAGGATCGTCGCTTCGCGAGCGAGAGAGAGGAGAGATCAGCCGAAGGGTGGAGGGGGATAAGACTAGCACGCGAGAAAGAGGGATCTAGTCGGTTGAACAGTGACGGCGACATCGTCGAAGCCCACGTACACATACACGCGGTCTAACACACACGCCAGCGGATGCATACTGGGCCGTCAAGCTCGCGCACTACAGACTACCAGACTCCCACCACGAACTTTTGGAAAAATCAATAGAATACAAGAAAAGCCCATGGTGCGCCAGGCGAGCGGAGCCCTCTCCTCTCTTCCATCCTCATCATTTCTCTCTCTTTTTCTCTCTCGTCTTCGTTCTCGCTTTTTCTCTCTTCCTCTCTTTCTCTCTCTCTCTCTCTATACCTCTCTTCTACCTCCCTTTCACCCACTACCCTCCCTGTCTCTCGCCGCATCTCTCGCGCGCACACGCGGGTATCCGTGTTCGCCGCTGCTCGCAACAAAGAGAGGAAGAGATCGCGTGTATATACTGGCGATCGACGGAGATAGCCGGCATGCGTGCACGCACGACGGCCAAGGACGGAGATAAGGACGACGGTAGGAAAGGGGGTGCTAGAAGGAAGGAGGGAAGGCTGAGGATTGTGTGTGAGGGTCTACGTGTGTATCCGACAGTATCCAAGAGAGTTGAACGGAGAAAGAGACGGAAGGCTAAAAGAGAGAAAAAGAGAAAGGAGAGAGAGACGCAAATCGCACTATGAGCCTGGTTTTAGTTGAACAGAGATGGCGAACGCGAAAGGGAAAAGGGAGAGAAAAATGCGTCCGTGTGCGCTTAATAGACGGGGCGGGGAGAAAGAGAAAGAGAAAAAGTCGTCGCAGTAAAGATAGAGTGAGCTGGAGATACTTCGCAGATACGTACACGATTCCACGCGTATCTAAGATGTGCGTAAGTTCCATCGTTGGCTAGAGAGAGAGAAAGAGAGAGGGAGAACGAGAAAGAAGGGAAAAGAGAGAGAAAGACGTCTGTATGTATGTCGTGCGCGAGAAAGACGGGAAAATACGCTGGCTCGGCCGAGCTAGCGCGAATAGCTCGCGACGAGTTACGTAGGAGCGTTCGCTAATGGGTAGGAGACGAAGAGCCATATGCAGCGAGAGATGCATAGAGAGAGGAGACAGAGACAGAGAGGGATGCTGCGCGCGAGAACGCGCCTTGTCCGTGTTGGTGCACCGAGCAGAAGATTTGCACGGTTCAACAAACGCCTCTCGCTTATGTATATGTGCAAAACTATGTACGAATCT